GGGCGGGTGGTTTTCAAAATGTGGCTCTCGCTTTAGCGCGGCGCACATTCGTTTCAAAAAAAAATGAAAGAGCTTCACGGATTGAGGGCTGGTCGTTTTCAAAATGTCGCTCTCGCCTTGGCGCGGCGCACCTCCGTTTCAAAAAAATGCAAGAGCTTCACGGATTGAGGGCGGGTCGTTTTCAAAATGTCGCTCTCGCCATAGCGCGGCGCACCTTCGATTTTAAATGTTGCAAGAGCTCCACGGATTGAGGGCGGGTCGTTTTCAAAATGTGGCTCTCGCCTTAACACCGCGCACATTCGTTCACAAAATTTGCAAGAGCGTCACGGATTCCCATCAACGTGCCAGGAAATGTGTTTTGAAAGGATTCAGAATTACGCAGGCGCAACGGTTACGTTGGTTCGCTGTGTTGAAGTCCCAGGAATGGCGTTCTAGCACGATTCCGGATCGTCAACAGGCAATAGTCAGGTTGGTCCATGGCATTGGAATCCCGAGAACAATGTCTTGGCATGCTTCAGGGTCTTCAAACGGTTGCCTTCCGAAGAGGCAGTTCCTCCTATGGAAATAAAGCGTTGTATGGAGCCTCTGAAGAAAGAGCTTGGAAGGTGGGTTTATTCCAACAACGTTGATGGCACTTGGGTTTACACTGGACCTCCAACTCCTCCTCCTCCTCGTCCTCAACCTCCCACTCCTCCTCCTCCTCCTCCTCCTCCTCCTCCTCCTCTTCCTCCTCCTTCTGCTCCCGCCCCCCCAGTCAGATGTTACCCCTCATTCATAAAATGATTAGCATGTTCCTATTCCTATTGCTCCTCCACCTGCCCCTCCCCCGTCTTCGTCAAAGTTCCTCCCTTTTTCCTCCTGTTCTCCTTTTCCTGATGCTCGCCCGTTGTTCCTCAATATTCCTCTCCCTCCTTTTTACTCTATGTTTCCTCAATGCTCCTCTCCTCATCCCGATATTCCTCCTTCCTCCCTCATGCCTTCTCCTCCTCCACCTCCTCCTCCTCCTTCTCCTCCTCCTCAGCCCGCAAGGAAGCGACACCAGGACCGTCCACAGACTTGCGCCGACAGAAACCATGGAGATGACACAGCAATGCACTACCCTCCGCACCATAGGAAAGCGATTCCACTTCATCAAACACAAATGGCACAGAGATCATATGCCTGTTTCCCTCCTCTTCCCGCCACCGTAGGTTTCTCCCTCCCACCCAAGCGTCGCGGAGACGAGAATGGGGTGGACGCCGACAGGATGATGGTCTGCCCACGGAAGGGGAAGTGAAGACTCGCTTCTTGGAGTTGTTGGAGGAGGAGATCCCGGGGATATGAAGAGGAGAGATGGACGGAGGCGAAGCCAACGCCGAAGCCAACCCTGATCTCGCGCGGGAGCTCTACTCCGAAACCGCCCGAAGAGCGCTCGGAGGCGCATTCGGACAGACAGCGGGGGTCCTTTACGAAAATGACAGGATGCTACGAGACAAAAAGAATGAGCTGCTGGCACGACGAACGAAGCTGAGGGGACCTCTCCACATAGGAGGCACCGATGAGGACCACAACAGAGTGGCGGAAGATCTTGCAGATGTGTCGGCGTTACAAAAAGGAACCACGGAGGAGCAATTGAAAACAAACTGGCAGAGCTGGCTCAGCATATTCGAGAAGCGTACGAAATATCAAACTTTGCGGAGATCCACAGACTCAGGATTGCGTAAAGACAGCCCAAGAGGAAGCGAAGAGAGGCCCCAAAGGCCCCCTAGACAATGCAAGAGGGCCCCGAATCGCCGAAACATCGCTCGAACCGCCCAAAATGCCCCGAAGACAGTCCCAGAAACCTCCAAGACGTCCCCAGGATCCCTCACGACACTTCCCAAGAATGCCCAAAGACTGACAAATAGATCCATTCCCTTGGGAAAACGTGGGGGATACAGCGGCTAGTACTCTAATGAGTTCAACTGACCGCGCCGGGTTCTTGATTGGACTTGCGGCTGTGCCAGGTCCAACAAGCCCCCCTGCGTCGCTCGGAATCTGCGCGGCTGTGCCAGCAAAGCCGGCTTCTCTAGACACCCCGCGTAGGAACAAGAGAATACCCAAACTCACACACACACACACACTCACACACTCACACACTCAATCACTCACTCACTCACACACTCACACACCCACTCACACACTCACACATACACATACGCATACTCATCATCATCATCATCAGCATCATCATCATCATCATCATCATCATCATCATCATCATCATCATCATCATCATCATCACTCCCGCACTCACTACCACTCACTCACCCACTCACTCACCCACCGACCCGCCCACTTACTCACTTACTCACTCACTCACTCACACTCTGATCATCATCATAATCGACATCCGCATCATCATCGTCACCACCATCGTCATCATCAGCATCAACATCATTATCATCATCACCTTCACTCACTCACTCACTCACTCACTCACTCATTCACTCACTCACTCAACTAGACGGGAGCCTCGTCGGTGAGTGAATTGCAAGGAAATCTCAAGCTGGGGCCCCCCTCCTCATGGGGCCCGCAGCTCACGTTACTAATCCGACAGGCCATCGGAATCTTGTAACAGTCGTCACTGTTGGCCTCATCAAACAAACTTGAGAATAGCGGAAGTCTCAGGTGTGAGCCTCGTCTGCGAGTGAATCGCGAGGAAGTCTCACGCGGGAGCCCCCTCCCTATGGAGTCCACACCGCGTGCTATTAATCCAAACGGGTTATCGGAATCCTGCAACTGTCACTTTCGGCCTTTTCAAGCTTGGGTATGTGGAAGCCTCGTTTGTGAGTGAATTGCAAGGACATCTCAGGCGGCCCCCCCCACCCTATGGGGCCCGCAGCTCATATTACGAATCCGAGCAGGTCATCGGAATCCTACCACTGTCGTCATTTTTGGGCCCCTCAAGCTTGAATATGGCGAAAATCTCAGGCGGGAGCCTCGTCTGCGAGTGAATTGCGAGGAAGTCTCTGGCGGGAGCCCCATCCCCATGGGGCCCGCAAGGCATGTTACTAATCCGAATGGGTCATCGGAGTCCTGTAACTCTTGTAGTTGTCGTCACGCTTGGCCTCTTCAAGCTTGAGTATGGTGGACATCTCAAGCGGGAGCGTCGTCTGAGAGTTGCAAGGAAGTCTCCAGCAGGAGCCCCGACCCTATGGGGCCCGCAGCTCATGTTACTAATCCGAGCGGGTCATCGGAATCTTGTAAATGTCGTCATGTTTGGGCTCTGAAGGTCGAGTATGGCGAAAGTCTGAGGCGGGAGCCTCGTCGGTGAGTGAATTGCGAGGAAATTTCAGGCGGGCCCCCCTCCTCATGGGGCCCGCAGCTCACGTTACCAATCCGACAGGCCATCGGAATCTTGTAATTGTTGTAACTGTCGGCCTCATCAAACTTGAGAATAGCGGAAGTCTCAGGTGTGAGCCTCGTCTGCGAATGAACCGCGAGGAAATCTCACGCGGGAGCCCCCTCCCCATGGGGTCCGCACCGCATGCTATCAATCCAAACGGGTTATCGGAATCCTGTAACTCTCGTCACGTTTGGCCTCTTCAAGCTTGAGCATGGTAGAAGTCTCAAGCGGAAGCCTCGTTTGTGGGTGAATCGCAAGGAAGTCTCACGCGGGAGCCACCTCCCTATGGGGTCCGCAGCTCACGTTATTAATCCGAGCGGGTCATCGGAAACCTGTAGCTGTCGTCACGTCTGGCCTCGTCAAGCTTGAGTATGGCGGAAGTCTCAGGCGGGAACCTCGTCTGTGAGTGAATTGCAAAGAAATCTCAAGCGGGGGGCCCTTCCCTATGGGGCCCACAGCTCATGTTACTAATTCGACCGGGCCATCGGAATCCTGTAACTGTCGTCCGTTTGGGACTCGTCAAGCTTTAGTATGGAAGTCTCAGGTGTGAACCTCGCCTGCGAGTGAATTGCGAGGAAGTCTCAGGCGGGAGTTCCCTCCCTATGGGGCCCGCAGCTCACGCTACTAATCCGAGAGGGTCATCGGAATCTTGTAACTGTCATCACTTTGGGGCCCCTGAGGCATGAATCTGCAGGAGTATCAGGCGGGGTTGCCCCAACGGCTGCGCGATGCGGCCATTAGAAAATGCGCCCGTGCTGGCTGAAGCGGCGACGGCGCCGAGGAATACCGACGTGCGCGTTCCTGCCAGGAGGAAGGAGAGGTGCACGAGGAGAACAGGAGTGGTGGAGATGAGGAGGGGGAGAAGGAGGTGAGGTGAAGGAGGAGAAAGAAAAGGACGAAGAGGAGATTGACTACGAGGAGGAGGGGGAGGGAGAGGGGGAGGGGGCGGAGGATGAGGAGGAAGAGGAGGAGGATGCGGAAGAGCAAGAAGATAAGAAATACAACGAGTAGGACGAGAATGAACAGGAGGAGGAGCAGGATGAGAAGGAGGAGAAGGAGGACGCAGAGGGCGGAAGGAAGGCCTCTACCAGTCGAAGAAGAAAAGAGGGCGAGGACAAGCTAAATGGAATTTCATGTGGGGTCCTACCGTCGGAATCAGTACTTCGTCGAGAAATAGCTCCCCAACCCGGCTCCGCGGAGAGGGGTCGGCTGCCGTTCAATTTGGTCGACTCCGGAAGCCCAGGATCCAGCAAGATGAACATGGCATTGCAACCGCCGCCGTCCTTCTGCCTGCGGACCTTCACCCCGCCGGCTTCCGCCCGCTGTCCGCCGACGACGGGGTGCGCCGAAGACGAGGCCCTTCCTGGAACACCCCAAGCGGCTCCCAGGATGAACCAGAGTCGGGAGGGGCCAATTCAAGACGGGGCAAGTCCAGACGGAGGCCGAGCGCTCCGTGCGGACTTACTCCGCACGGACATAGCATGCTATCCGGAGAGGCTGAGGCACGACGGAAGAAGCCCTGACGAACGCCGAGCACTCCGCACGCAATTGCTCCGCACCGACTCGACTTGCAGTCCTCCGACAGAGGGGACCAGACGGGACTGGCTGACCCCGTGTGGAAAGCAGGTTCGACTTCCCAGCACACGCAGTTCCTCCCGGGCCAGCTCGAGCACAGCGCCGAAGGGGGGGTAGCAGCAGACTCGACTTAGCCAGGGCTGAACCTAAACGGTGTTTCCCGTTTTCGTTTTGTCTTCGTTCTCCCTCGTTTTGCCTTCCATCCACCTCGTCTGCCGCAAAACAAAGTCGAGAAACGAAAACGGCCCACGGAATCGCCAGAACACCGTCCAGGCCCAGCCCTGGACTCTCACATCCTCCGACAGCAGGGACCCGACGGGACTGGCTGGCCCCAGGCTGGCGCCGACCCCGTTGCGCGCGCCCCGGGGCGGGGTCCTGCGGCGGCGCCCTGCGCCCGCGCCGCGCCCGCACTGCGCCGCTCGACCCGCCCGCCTCGGCTGCGGCAGGGACGTCGTCAGCGTCGGCGTCGCCGCCGCCGTCGCCGTCGAGGTGTTATCGTTATTCTCACAAGTCGTATGAATGGCATTCGCAGTATTATTGGTAAAAGTATGATTGGTCATAGTAGATAAGGATATGTGTAGATATATATATATATATATAGTATATACATATATACAAATATATGATCATGGTTGTTATTGGTTGTATGATTATGCTTAATGCTAACATTAGTCTGAGTACGAATATTGATAATTAGTGTGATCGTTGTTATTAGTAGGTAGTATTAATATTATGATTCGCATTCGTCTTAATAGTGGTACCATTGGAGGTAGCATCGTTAATAACATTATGTGTACAAGCATGTTAGCAGTATGCGTTCGCATTATTCTTCGAAGAAAGATTAGTCTCATGCTTCGTTATAGTAGCCGTCTTCTAATTTGTTTATTAGCCGTATTCGCTTGTCTTTCTAAATATCATTAGCAAATCCTCCTCCTCCTCCTCATCTTCCTCTTCCTCCTGCTCCTCCTGCTCCTCCTCCTCCTCCTCCTCCTCCTCCTCATCTTCCTCCTCCTCAACCCCATTGACACTACTGTTTCCCTTCCTCTCCGTCCTCCTCTCTCTCTTCTCCTCCTCCTCCTCCTCCTCCTCCTCCTCCTCCTCCTTCTCCCCCTCCTTTTCCCTATCCTCTTCCTCCTCCTCCTCTCCTCCTCCTCCGATTCCTCCTCCGATGCCTCCTCCTCCTCCTCCACATCCTCCTCCTCATCCGCATCCTCCTCCTCAACCTCATTGCACCCGCTCTTCCCCCTTTTCCTCATCGTCCTCCTCTTCGGGAGCGCGAACTCGATGCGCTCGTGAAAGCCACCGCGGCGCACAAGCAAGAACCCCATAGCTTCGACCGACAAGTGCACCCATGTGAATCGTCATCATCATCATCATCATCATCATCATCATCATCATCATCAGCATCACCATCACCATCAACAAAACATAATCACCAGCAGCATCACCACCACCACCACGAATATCATCATCATCATCATCATCAGCAGCAGCATCATCATCATCATCAGCATCACCATCATCGTCATCGTCAGCATCATCATCATCATCATCATCATCATCATCATCATCGTCATCATCATCATCATCATCATCATCATCATCATCGTCATCATGCTCATTGTCATCGTGATCCTCATCCTCGCCCTCGTCGTCGCCGGCAGCAGCAACAGCATCTTCACCACCACCACCACCGTCATCATCATCAGCGTCCTCAACACCACCATCATCATCATCATCATCCCAATGACCACCACAATCCCCTTCCCCGTTTTCTTGTTCCTCCTCCTCCTCCACTCCTGCGCGGTTGGGGTGACCATCCCTGGTCTCAGGAGGTGACCCTGGACAAAAATGGTGGCGCGCAGCTGCCTTCCGTGCAAACGAAATCGGGAAGCGGGGACGCGATGCCCTGGCGAAGGCCAACGCGGCAAGCACAAAAACCGCACAGCTGCAGCATGAAAACTGAACCCGCCATCATCATCATCATCCTCATCATCATCATCATCATCATCATCATCATCATCATCATCATCATCATCATCATCATCACCATCACCATCATCATCATCATCATCATCATCAGCATCAGCATCAGCATCATCATCATCATCAGCATCATGATCATCAGCAGCATCAAAATCATCAACATCATCATCACCACCATCATCATTATAATCACCGTCATTCCCATCACCGTCATCATCATCATCATCATCATCATCATCATCATCATCATCATCATCATCACCATCACACCATCAACATCGTTGTCGTATTACGGTTTTTCTTCGCCGGCTGCATCATGGAAGGCACAATCGTCCTCATCACCCTTATCATTACCACCAGTGTCATCACAACCGTCAATATCATTGTCACTATCACCGTCATCACCACCAGCATCGTATCGCCATCGCAGCATCATCAGTGCAATCCTCTTGGTCATCTGAACCATCAAACTCGTCATCATCATCACCATCACCATCACCAAAATCATCGGCATTTTCATCACAATGGTCATCATAAGCATAACCAGCACCATCGTCATCAGCATGTTCATCATAATCTGCATCACCTTCTGCCTAATCATCATCATGACAATCATCATCATCATCATCATCATCATCATCATCATCATCATCATCATCATCATCATCATCATCATCACATGCACGGCCACAACCGCCACCTGCCATCATCGGCATCAGCATCGCCATCCCCATCGTCGCCATGAGCATCGTTATATTCCTATCCGTCTGCACCTTCATCATCATCACCACCACCACCGCCACCAACATCATCAGCAGCAGCATCATCATCAGCTGCAGCAGCACTATCAGCATCATCATCATCTTCATCATCGCCGTCGAATGAACGAACGAACGACCGTCAACTCCCAGAAACGGCCCCAAACTGGGCGACGGGCGCGCCGCGAGGCGCGCTGGCCCTCGTAGAGGATCGGGGGAAGTCAGTAGCGAAGGCTCAGAAGCTCATGGAATGGATAGTACTGCCCAAATTTGCCGCGCGCGTGTTCCAGCGGTAATATTGACGACCGCATTCACGCTCTCCTGAAGACCCAAAACTACCTCGTATAAATTATCGTATAAATTGTCAAAATTGTCATTATGTTTTGCGTTTGCCCTGGCCATCAAACGCACGCTCTTTGTAGCAAAAATCGTGTTTTGTTTCCTCTTCCGCCTCTTCCGGTACATTATCTGCTGGGTCCTTCTTGTCAAAGTCCTCCTTGTCAGACGTGCCCTCTTTGTTGAAGTGCTTGTCGAACTCGGTTTCAACCAACTTTGAGAATGGTGGGATCGTCATGGTCAGGTTGGCCATCCTGTCCTGATCGCTGGTGCACTTGTTGTCGTGATCGTCGTTGATGTCGTTGATGTATTCGTCGTTGTCGTCGGCAGACATGCTGGCGTAGACCTGCTCGCACGGTTCAGCTTGTCATCCATCAGCTGCATGTCATCGTAATGCTCTTGGATGATATCTCCAAAAATCTGACTGGCAAGGTCTGATTCCATGTTGATCATGATGCCATTGGCATGGGCAGCCTTCGGCAACATTCCAATATGATGTGTAACGGTCTGCTCGCACTTTACAATGGCCATGCGGTGATGTAGCATATCATGTTTTTCGATGTGCTGTTGTTCGGGTTGTCCATGAGTTATATTTTTCGAAAGGACTGCCTCTATGCCTGTTCCATCTTTCCGAGTCTCTCCAATAGTACGGCCCTCTGCCCAAAGTTTTGCACCAGCTTAGACGTAACGCCAAATTGAAGGTCACATACAGCTTCCTGTCTGCGGACATTGCGGGCAGGCAACACCGAAGATCACACCTCATCGCCATTAGCCATGCGAGCTGTGTGAAGAAACACTATGATTGCTACACCTATCCCTTGAGCCCTGAAGGCTTGAGCCGAATCCTTGAGCCAAAGCTTCATCACCAGCATCATCAGCATCCATATCCTCCTCCTCCTCCTCCTCCTCCGCCTCCTCCTCCTCATACTCTCCATTATCATCACCACAACCACCATCACCATCAACACCATCAACACAAGCATCACCATAATCAGCACCATCACCATCACAATCACAAACACCACCATCACCAATATCGCAATCATCATAAGCATCATCATAATCATCATTATCCTAAGCATCATAAGCATCAGCATCAGCATCCTTATCATCACCAACATCATCAGCATCATCAGCAGCAGCACCAGCAGCAGGAGCATCCTCGTCTTCACCATCATCATCCTACTACTCCTCCTCCTCCTACTCATCACCATCAGCACCATCATCACCATCATCACCATCAGCATCATCATCAGCATCATCATCGCGACCATCACCATCATCATCACCATTACCAGTACCATCACCATCACAAACACCATCACCATCACCACCAACAACAACATCATCAGCAGCAGCATCATCAGCATCATCAGCATCAGCATCATCATTGTCAGCAGCATCATGCTCATCATAATAATTACAGCAACTTAGAAGTACAAACAATAAGAACGCTAATCATAATAATACTCATCATCATCAGCATCATCAGCATCATCAGCAGCATCGTCATCATCATCGTCAGCGTCATCAGCATCATCAGCATCATCATCAGCATCATCATCATCATCATCCGAATCATCGTTACCATCATCATGATCATCATTATCACCTCCAGCACCACCATCATCATCATCCTCACTGTCATCGTCATCGACATCGAAATCGGCGCCATCGTCATCAACATCACCATCACCACCACCACCATGATCATCAGTATCATCATCAGCAGCATCGTCATCAACAAGGGAGGACGAGGAGGAAGAGGCGGAAGAGGAGGAGGAAGAGGAGGACAGGACATGACAGGACAGGACTCGGCCTTACGTGTATGGGGCGTGACATGAAGCTGAACACTATGATGTGAGACGCTCGTGACGAGGACGAGGAGAAGGAGGGGGAGGAGGAGGAGAAGGCCGAGGACGAGGACGAGGACGAGAAGGATGACGAGGAGGACGAGGAGGACGAGGGGGAGGAGGATGCTGCACGGCGGAGTCCGGTGGAGCAGCAGGCGGCGGTCTGAGCCTAGCAGAGCAACCTTTATTTCACGTTCGTAGGTCAGCGAGTTGCTTTACCTCTCCCTGATTCCAATACAAGCCTCCAAGCCCGGGGGGTCCACTGACGGCCCCCAATTTACCTCCTACTTCACCTCCCCTTATTCGCTTCCGCGGGAGGGATGATTCTGACTGTGGCATGTTTTCTATCAATGCGCACGCCCCTGTTCACTGCAATGTTTCGTCAATCTCTCTTTCTTTCTCTCACTCTCCTCTTCTTTCGCTTTCTCTCCTCCCCACCTGGGCTGATGTTGCGTGGGCTTCAAGTGTAATCATGACCTGTCGGTTAGACCGTGGGAGA